GATCTCAAGCCCATTTTTATATTGTGATGTCAACTCAATCTTTCTTCTTTTAAATGTGCCTCGACTAGTTTTAAATCTAATCTGTGATATGCTAGTTATCGTACTGTCCTTCGATGACAGGTTTTTATACAGTTTAAATATATGCATTATTTATGACCAACTTCTCGTCACGATATGGCTGTAATATTGCCGATGTGACGTTAAATGTTAACTCACTCACTCACTCACTCTTGACGTGTGTGCATCTAAGGCAGTGAGGAGACATGTGTAGGCGTTCTGTTGAGGTGTGTGCATCTAAGGCAGTGAGGAGACATGTGTAGGCGTTCTGTTGAGGTGTGTGCATCTAAGGCAGTGAGGAGACATGTGTAGGCGTTCTGTTGAGGTGTGTGCATCTAAGGCAGTAAGGAGACATGTGTAGGCGTTCTGTTGAGGTGTGTGCATCTAAGGCAGTGAGGAGACATGTGTAGGCGTTCTGTTGAGGTGTTTGCATCTAAGGCAGTGAGGAGACATGTGTAGGCGTTCTGTTGACGTGTTTGCATCTAAGGCAGTGAGGAGACATGTGTAGGCGTTCTGTTGAGGTGTGTGCATCTAAGGCAGTGAGGAGACATGTGTAGGCGTTCTGTTGAGGTGTGTGCATCTAAGGCAGTAAGGAGACATGTGTAGGCGTTCTGTTGAGGTGTTTGCATCTAAAGGGGCATTCACACGGTACAACTAGTTGTATACAATTTGTTGCATGCAACACATTGCATCGTGTGAACGGGCAAGTCGGTCCAACTTTTGACGTATGCAACTTGTTGGACGCGAGTTGTACCAAATAGGACATGCTCTATTTTCATGCGACAAGTTGTATGAACGCAGCCAATCAAAACGCGTATGAAAATCACGTGACATTTACACGTCAATTTGTACACAAAAATGGCGACTCCGATTCACGTCGGTAACCTCTGTTTTCGGTATCCTAAGTGTCACCACTCAATAAAGGACCTATATAAAGTAGGTACGTAGAATACCACTGTACCAAATTATATATTTTGACATTTGCATCGATCTAATTCTCCTGGTTAACTGTTCATGGTGTTATTTGAAACGACGATGGCTATGTGACTGTTCACTGTAGTGTAGACCAAGATGAGATAAGGTCCATAATACGTTTCTAAAACTTAAAATACATCATACACACAAATAAACGTCACAGTTTTAGATTCTGTGGAAAAGTATCTATAATATGATGCCATTAACAACTATTTTAGCCAAAGCATCTGTATCACTAACAACATCTGAAAATAGTGTACAACGAAAAAAATGCCATTTTCGCATTTTACCAATTCACTGTTCTAAATGTGATTATTTATTCAAATAACGTATAGCTACATGAGAAGTTCCATTACAAAACCATTGGGTGTCTGCTCTTTGTCAAAACACCAATCTTCATTCCGAAAAGACTCCAATAACCCTATATATTTGTTTTCGAAATATAAAAACTCTGGACCGAACCTCCATGTTGGATAGCGTTGCAAAATCACGGTTCTTTTCGCGTCAGGCGAGATGCCTGTCACATCACATGTATTTCACACTCAGCTACTATACATACATCTCTGAATTCATCATACCATTAAGAATCAATTGACATTTTGTCTAAGTCACTAATACAAACGGTCCAAATGAAATCAACCGCAATATTCAAGTGTGAAACCAAACCCTGTGCTCTGAAACCTACCAGTGGGCCTTCTCATTTAAAAATGTAAACAAAGCAAACTTCTAGTTTTACTTGACATTTTACTATTCCGAGAGATTCGGTCGTCAATTTGTTGCATATATTAGCTCAGTTTATTACGAATATGCTTGGGTCGATAATCGTTGCAAGAATTGAGGAATTAATAATTAGAGTCAAGATACTTATTTGGAAAAAGTCAACAGAAATCGTTCAACGTGCCGCCATGATTGACGCAAAATCACGCACACTGACGACGGTATTGGTCTGCCTTTCCACGTAGTATCAAGGCGAGAATAGAAACATAAAAACAAACAGAACTTGTTGATTTCAGATTGATTCTGATTACTTAACTTACATGACTCATTTATGTATGTATGTGATCCCAGCATCACGGTAAAACTACACCAAACATTCCGCGTACTGCTATCAGTGAACTCGCTAAGTTATGACGGAGGGTTACCGGTAGTGATGTCATATTAGTATACGTCAGCATCAACATCGTTGTACATATTTGTTATTTTCTTTGAGGTGCGGGTGAACTAGTACACAACGCATTCAGTTCATGAAGTAGTTTACTGTTTCAATCTTGAATTATAATTTGAATATCTCTTCAATATCGTTTCACCCAGCAACATAATGCACTGTATGCAGTACTGTTATTAATATAATCTAAAATGCCATAGAATTTATAAAACTCATAATAAACAGCTGTTTGTTTGGTCATAGACATTCATCGTGTTATCCTTCCCATAAGGTGCTTTGTAAATGTAGCACACTGCAGCATATACATATTTCCTTTGGAGAATTGTTAAATATTAATTGTGGCAAATTTATATAGATAGGTTAATAAAACAGGCTCTTCATTTCTTAAGTTAAAGTAAATGTATACCTGAAGGAAATTCGCCACGTTATATTTTTATTAATGTATAACTCAAGTGTGGACAACTACTTGTCTTACATTTGGATTTTAACGTTTAATTGGCGGAACATTGACAGCTAAAGATTGCATCAGGTGCGCGTTTCAAAATAGGGGCCGACCATTTGAGATTCATGGGTGGAGGTGGGTCATGGTCTGTTGGGGTTTGGGTGTGCGTTGCTGGGGGGTGGAGGGGTTGTGGAGCTGTTGTAGTGATAAGCGCAACATTCTGTTCTTTTAATCGAAATTTTCCATACTATACCCGAATATAATTGGTAATATACTGTTACTTTTTTGTGTTACCGATTCCAACGTTTCTTATAAATTGGGAAATAAGCTAAAAGTATCTGGTTTCAACTGGCCAAAGGGCACTTTCAGGATTTTTATAGTTCATTCTTCTATATCATAACAAAATCTGAAATATGTCTTCAGGACATTTTGGATGACAATCATTCAATGTCCCAGAAAAGGAACTGATGTGGTTATTAAAATCGATAGCTTTGTTGGAACTTTGTAGATACACATAAACAAAAAGATACTAGAATATATTGTCCTGAGCCAAAGCAGATGCTCACCACGGACATGACGGATACTGAGTTTTGCAATGACTAGGAATTGCGTTGGTTTTTTTTGTCTTTGTACATGTGGGCATCGCCCTCGTGTTTTGACATCATGTAACGGAAAATTTGTTTTCGACACAAAACAAGTACGTTTTCGTATCGAATGTGTCACGTTATACATTTAATTTTCCATCATGGGGTTAAAAATTCAATATTATACAAGTCCGTTAAATTGCAAAGTCAGAGGTTGGTCCAGTACCGCGCGACCGCAATTCTCGCACAGCGTTGATTTTTCAAAGCAATGCGTCTGAACATTAACTCGGCAACCAAGATTCCAGCGATAGTGTAGTCAATCACAAGCTTTTTGTCAGAGATCTCGCGAGACCCGAGTTGTATGCAACTCGCCGCCGTGTGAATGCCGAGTTGTATACAACTTTAGTTTGTGCAACTAATTGCATACAACAAGTTGTATACCACTAGTTGTACCGTGTGAATGCCCCTTAAGGCAGTGAGGAGACATGTGCAGGCGTTCTGTTGAGGTGTTTGCATCTAAGGCAGTGAGGAGACATGTGTAGGCGTTCTGTTGAGGTGCTTGCATCTAAGGCAGTGAGGAGACATGTGTAGGCGTTCTGTTGAGATGTGTGCATCTAAGGCAGTGAGGAGACATGTGTAGGCGTTCTGTTGAGGTGTGTGCATCTAAGGCAGTGAGGAGACATGTGTAGGCGTTCTGTTGAGGTGTGCGCATCTAAGGCAGTGAGGAGACATGTGTAGGCTTTCTGTTGACGTGTGTGCATCTAAGGCAGTAAGGAGACATGTATAGTTGTTCTGTTGAGGTGTTTGCATCTAAGGCAGTGAGGAGACATGTGTAGGCGTTCTGTTGAGGTGTGTGCATCTAAGGCAATGAGTAGACATGTGTAGGCGTTCTGTTGAGGTGTGTGCATCTAAGGCAGTAAGGAGACATGTGTAGGCGTTCTGTTGAGGTGAGTGCATCTAAGGTAGTGAGGAGACATGTGTAGGCGTTCTGTTGAGGTGTTTGCATCTAAGGCAGTGAGGAGACATGTGTAGGCGTTCTGTTGAGGTGTTTGCATCTAAGGCAGTGAGGAGACATGTGTAGGCGTTCTGTTGAGGTGTGTGCATCTAAGGCAGCGAGGAGACATGTGTAGGCGTTCTGTTGAGATGTGTGCATCTAAGGCAGTGAGGAGACATGTGTAGGCGTTCTGTTGAGGTGTGTGCATCTAAGGCAGTAAGGAGACATGTGTAGGCGTTCTGTTGAGGTGTGCGCATCTAAGGCAGTGAGGAGACATGTGTAGGCTTTCTGTTGACGTGTGTGCATCTAAGGCAGTAAGGAGACATGTATAGTTGTTCTGTTGAGGTGTGTGCATCTAAGGCAGTGAGGAGACATTTGTAGGCGTTTTGTTGACGTGTGTGCATCTAAGGCAATGAGGAGACATGTATAGGCGTTCTATATAAATAGTCTTGGCTCGGTCTATTTTAAAATTCTCATCAAATTTGGTTTGCATTTGTTAACTGAAAGTATCCTATATACTTCAACAGATTGTCTTAACTCCACATAAACACCAATAGGTCTATACATGACCACATGTCATTTCCTTCAGACATACTGAGTGACTTCAGGCGTGAAGATCGACTGAGCAGAACTGTGACTCAATTGAAATATATAAAGCTAATTCATATTTTGTTGAACTATCGAGGCCAGTATTCTATGCAATCGAAGTTGTGCTATTGAATGACGTATTTATTACACCTTTTATAACAAGTCGGTGTAGTCCTGCTGTGTTTGTTCTCATTCTCTGTTAGAGGACGACGGTGAGGAGGGACACGTGGTTTGATTGGTCATAGAACAGTTGTAATTGTGTTGTGGGAACAACTGATTCTATGGCTAAGACGTTCTTGGATCTATTAAAATTCAATTTGGTACGACTATTGGTGCATGCATTATAATGATTGAACCAATACAACCTTTATAATGGAAATTCACAAAAGTGAGTGGACAACTTTGCTTACGGCTATATTGTGTTTACAAGGCGACGCAGTTTCCATTTACAAGTGATCTTGTGTGTATTGAAACGTGACACAGTATGCCCCATTGACAGAAGCTTGTCGCCCGCTTAGGGTGTAACAAATATCTTTGTATAGTAGCTGCTGTTGTCAAAACATACATGACGTCGTTCTTGCTACCGCCCGGCTCGGGAAGAGAGTGAAAGATAGTTTCCTGCTGTGCTCTATCTGCATCGAGACGTACACAAACCCGTGCAAACTGACCTGCCACAAAACTTTCTGTACATCCAACCAGACCAGATGCTGTACAGTCCAGGACGAATAACCTGTCTAGATTATCCGCCGACTTGCATTAAAAAGTAAGTATATATTGCCTGACTCCGCAAAGAGGTTCTACTGCCATGCGGCGGTGGCCTGTAAACAATTCAGATAATCAAGTGATCGGTGAACCAGAAAATCCAGTGACATGATAGTGATTTGGGTGAAAGTAATAATAACAATGTTAACTTTGAATTACGCCTGTTGCGTACAAGTACAGAGATTCTGCTGCTTATAAGTAAAGAAACGTTTACGACATATGGTCGTTTTGCAGCACAGTAAGAGGGAGGGCAGTTTAATGTCTCGGCCCAAACATTTCTTTGTAGTTAACTCCATGCACAGCTGTGTATTTTGGCGGGATAAGGTTATTTCAGGGACCATGTAATAGATTATATGGTCCCTGACACAGCAGTACTGACACATAAGTCTCGAAAACTAACGTTTAGTTACCTGCCTTGTATTGTGAAAAGGGTGGATCGGTGTGCCTATTAATTGTAAAGGAAGGCTTGGTGTTAACAAAATTTATTAATTTATTATGGCCGTTGGTAGTTTTTAAAACTTTAATAGGAAACACGTGCGTATTTCAAATAAGATCGATAATGTCACACCCGCGAGAGTTTAATTTGGCATCAATTAAGCCTGACCTCACAATAACACAATAATTCATATATTCAGTTTTAGTTCATCTCTGCAGGTAAATCCTGTATTGTGCGGAAACAACAAGCTTGTTCTTATAGCAGAGCCAGTAAGTCATTACGATAATGAGTTCAACTATAATGAGGGAAATGTTTAGTTCAAATACAAGGATAAACATATATAGAGATCTAGACCCACGTTTCGGAAAAGCCTTGTTTGGCGTTATATCAATATATGTATTTATATAGCACTATGGAAGGGTCAATATAGACAATTTAGGAACACATATTTATATCTTCAAGTTGATTTGAAAAGAATATTAAAGTCTGATTTACTGAGAGACTATCCCCCTTGTGGCTGAAAATATATCTCAAGTAACCAAAGCTTGTCACAAGTGCGACTCAATTGGAACAGTTTCTTACAATGTGTGATCGTACCCTGACCTCTGGACTCAATGTTTGTCATACCAGCAGCTGTGGGGTTGTCTGGTGGACACTCGACATATTTTTTCACTGTCACTTTTGGAACAAGGAATTATATGTGATGTGACAAACAGTAAACGGATTTTTTCAGCTTTTATGATAAAATGCAGTTGATTTTATATGAAGAATAAACCTTATTACGATGGTAGCTGCTGATGGTTTGAGTGGTCGAACCTGGACATACTACAGATCACTATGATGTAGTTGACATGTGATGTTGATGGTGAAGAAACAACATTGAGACAAACTACACATTCGACTATCAATAACAGATGTCTCAACATATTTAATGACGCACTCAACACGTGAATGAGTTTGGACATGTGCCACTTTGAACAGTATTTCAGTTATGTCAGCTTGGTGCGGAAGGTAAGTCCCAAGTGGCTTACAACAAGACATTTTCAAGATGTGCGAACCAAAATACACATTGCCCCATTACAGAGACCTACGAACTTCACCAGAAAAAATGTATTTTGAAAAATTGAAAAATGATTATGTGACCTTCAATTCTGGTTTTTCAGATGGCGACATCCCAGAATGAGAAAGTGATGGAATTCCTCACCTGTGTGATCTGCCAGGAACTGTACACAGACCCCTGTACACTGAGGTGTGATCACACATTCTGCAGGAAATGTGTCATCAAGTACATCCAAACCAGACCAGATGCTGTACAGTCCAAGACGATCCCCTGTGCCTTCTGTCGACAAGATACCAAGGTCCCCCACCCCAGCCGGCCAGTGGAGGAGTGGGCGGGGCAGATCAAACCCAGCATCATTATACAGGGGCTGATTGACACTCTCGGGGCCGAGGGAGATGTACCAGGTTAAGTTCAACCAGAAGTAACATTCATATCGATCAGTTTATCATGTTCAAGAAAAGATAAATTTATGACAAAAAGATCTTAAAACGTATTAATCAGAAATAATGTCAATCCAGTTTGATGAATTATTTGGTGGAAGGTTAGCCAAGTGAACAAGAGAAACTACAACCAGTTGTAATATTTAAGTTGATTTAATCACCTGTGTTTATGATATAGTATTTTTTCATGAGAAATTGAAACTTGAAATAGTTCATCAAGTTGGATCGGTTATTGAACTTAAAATAAAGACTGTTTACATGCTTAGCATTCCCATATTGTTTTGTTTTTTAGAAACAATACGTTCGTTTTTCTGTTCACAGAGACGTCAAGCACATACTGCACGATCTGTCAGAAAATAGGGGAGACAACTCCAGGTGCCTTGTGGTGTCCTGAGTGTGAAGTGGCCCTCTGTGACAGATGTGTGAAGACACACCGGATGAGCCCTATGTCACAGAACCATGATCTGTGTGACCTGTCATCTAGGTCAAAGGGCAGGCGGAGGGTCAAGTGTTCAGAACATAAGAGTAACAATGTAGAGTTCCACTGTAAAGACTGTCAGAAGGCTGCTTGTCAGACATGCTGTATCATCTACCACAGAGCTTGTAAAACTGTCGTCACCATTGAGTCTATGAAGCCAGAGATGGAGACAGTACTGCTGGAGAAGAGATTTGTCATGGGTAAGAGACTGAAGGTGAGGTCGAAGAAGGTAGAGGTGAAAAACGAGAAACTACGAAATAGTTCAAGAATCACAGAGACAACTGTAAACAATATTAAATCAATCTGTCAAACAGCTATAAACAAGATTAAAGAGAAAGAAACACAACTCTTGGATGAACTGAATCACATAACACAGACGTACGCCGGCCGACTCCGCTCTGGTGTGAAGCTTGACGAGATTGAGATGCAGATGTACAGACAACATTGTGAGTTCATTGACCAGGCCTTGGTATCGGACTGTGAGATGGACCTGTATGACGCGTATCAGGCCTGGGAGTCGGGGGCTGTAGACTTGGGGGATGTCAGGGACACAGACACAGCAGACACACGGAGAATAGATGACATCAGGTTCACACCTGACACTGACAACGTCCAGCACATCCTAGATGACCTACAGCTGGGGAAGATTGACGTCACATACCAGGATGAGGGCACATGTCTGCCGTCTCTAGGCCTAGTTGACCAGATAGATGGGAGGATGGCGGATGATAAGAAGCACCCCTTTCTAAGTGACGTCACAGTCCTGGTTGTAGACGGTATACAGACAGTTGTAGTCAATGACACGGAGAACAAGTGTGTGAAATCTTTGTACACAAGAAACAATCAACTATGTCATTGTAGACTTCCCCTGGATAACTCTACCCATGGTGTAACACAGTTGAAGGAGAACCAGGTGATGGTTGCTGTCCCTTCTTCCTTACACATTGTAGAAGTGACTCCTGACCTCGTGCTGCTCTCAACCATCACAACAAGCAAGGATTACTACAGTCTTGCTGTACTGAGTCCATCATCTCTAGCAGCAGGTGGTGTGGCCTGTGTTGACATCCTGGACATGGCGGGACACGTGCTGAGGTCAGTCACTAAACACAACGATGAGACACTTTTTGACTATCCCTGGTACATGTGTGTCAACAACAAGGGCAACATACTCGTGTCTGACTGGTGGAATAAGTCTGTGACATGTCTGACGTCAGAGGGGGGTGTTGTGTGGAGATACGCCCCTACCGGAGACAGAGCACTCAGACCTTGTGGTATCTCAACTACCGGCACAGGAGACATCCTGCTTGTAGACAGGAACACCAACAAGGTGATGCAACTGACAGAGACGGGGGAGTATGTCAGGGATGTCCTAATTTCAAAAGACAACCGTGATATATTCTGTGATAAATACGGATTCCTCTTTCTGAGTACAAACACGGAAGTGAAAGAGTATATGTTAGTCTGATAGAAAACAAAAACTGAAGGTTTATTCCAGTGATGTGCATTGGGTTACTCTTGAAATATTTATGTGAAAATGGTGTGGAGAAAATAGATCCAGTCAATGTATAGAACACTCAGTATCAAATAAAGTCTTCACCAAAACCTGGGTTGCCACTTTTTCACTCATTTGGTCACAAAAGGAATAACATTACTTAACATTGCCCATACAATTTAAACACAATGATATGCCAGAGTGAAAGTGAATATGAGTGAAAGTGAAAATGGTGAAAGAGTGAGCGGTTATATTTTTACAACGATTTCGGCAATAACATAGCCATTGAAAGGACTTTACATGCTCCCTGGTCCCAGTGTAGAAAAAAACAACGGCAGGGGTTATTTTGTGGGACAGTTTTTAATTCGATCATAATCAACTCCAATTTGTTGAAATCTAAAATACGTACGATAGCTTTCTCTGTACGTGGATTCAACATTCTCCTCAAGATAAGATCCAATCTATTTTGTTCCACGATGAAATCCGCCGTTTGAACTGGAACACACACCATAATTGTGACAAGAAATGTACGAAGACTTTTCTGTTTATTTGAAATTTAATCGGTGATGACAAACAGCATTGTTACTTTGCCCTGACAATGCAGAAATATTCTGATCTTGAATGTTAATACCTGGTACGCATTAAGTGCGTCAATCCTTATGCGAATTATTAATTATGCAATGGACCAAATTCCCCATGTCAAGAAATAAATCCTTGCTGTATAATTAAGAAGATTCAATGTGCTGCCTACTGTTTCTTCGTCTTGCTCTCAACACCTATACAGAAACCGCAGTATACTCGGTTTGTTTGTTGTTTAACGCCGCACTCAGCAATACTCCAGCTATATGACGGCGGTCTGTAAATAATGGTGTCTGGACCAGACAACCCAGTGATTGATATCATGAGCATCTATCTACGCAATTTGGATACGATGACATACATCAACCAAGTCAGCGAGCCTGCGAGCCTGAGAACCCGTTAGTCGCCTCTTACAAGCATAGTCGCCTTTTGTGGCAAGCATGGGTTTCAGAATACCTATATATATTCTAACCTGGATCTTCACGGGTGAAACTCATGAAGTCAAAGTATTAATCTCAGTTTGTGTTCAAACTTTACAGTGATTGCTGGTCAGTCACAGCTCGTGCTGTTGGGGTCTGGCTATTGTCCATTTAATGTCCGCTGAACTGAACTGTGACCAAATCAAGTTTACAATCAAAGGACCAGCAACCCCATACAATCACTGATCCGCCCCCACATGCCACTGTTTCCTGGATGTTTCCTGGATGTTCCCATATGCCTTCAGGCACGAGTCCTACCATCAGTGTGGTGCAATAAGACCCGACTCTTGTCAGACCAACGAGGGCCGGTCGGGTAGCCCAGTGGTTAAAGCGTTCGCTCGTCACGCCGAAGACCCGGGTTCGATTCCCGACATGGGTACAATTTGTGAAGCCCATTTCTGGTGTCCCCCGCTGCGATATTGCTGGAATATTGTTAAAAGTGGCGTAAAACCATACTCACTCACTCACTCACTCAGACCAACGAATCCTCCTCCATGACGTTCCAGTATACTCTAGTCTGACACTCTGCTAAACGGTCCCGAATGCGTTGTAGTGAGAGGGGTGGGCCTGTTAATGGTCTTCTGACCCTTAATCCTGCTGCATTCAGTTGACACCTGAAGGTGCCAAGGGACACTGTTGTTGGTGGGATGACTAAGAACAGCGCAAGTTGAAGTTGGAACCCGTTTTGCCTTGCGTTAAAAGACCCTCTTCTCTCTGCCACTGTTCTTCCGTGGTCGTCCTGACGTCAGCAAGTCCCTCACATGACCAATCAATAGCCCGGCATGATATGCTCATATATGGTGCATGCTAATGATTTGACATCGTTTATTTTCTGGGATAGTACGCTTAAGCATTTCAGTTAAGACGCATGACCTTTCTGTCATCAAGCATCAATTTCTATATAGAGATGAAATCGGTTCATAATTATTTTTCAGCATACTCCCCTCCGAGGTACACACGCTTCTGTCAACGATGATGGAGTACCTGATTCCCAGTGGTATGGATGGCTTCCTCCTAATGGTGTAAAATAACCTCGACAGCAGACTTGACGTCATCATCATTTTGCATCATGCTTGCCAGATAGATCTTTCTTCAAGTTTGGCAGAGACCATATACCCCATATGGTCTCTGAGTTTGGGTACAGGTAGAAGTCTGACCGTGCGAAATGGTAGCAAAGGAGAATGTTCGAAGGAAGGGACATCAGATGTTTCCACGGCGCTGACTGTTGTCTAGTCTCTGGCTGATAGTAGTGAACTCAAGACTTACCCATGGTTACAAATCGCTAAACAAAATCAGCTAGATCCGCTTCAGAATTACCTAAATTCCCACAAGAGATGACGAAAGTGGAGCGTTTCTAATCAGACGATTCATGCCAGTTCATTTCTCAGAATGTACTCAAACTGTACTGTGTGTTGTGAAGTGAGTTGATCACCCATAATCATGTCATGTATTTCATCAACATTTCCCGTTGTGATGGAAGTTGAGAGTCTTCGATCCTGATCTGGGTTCATCTTCGGGGCTCTTTCTTCATCTCTTGAACTCCTCTGGACAGCTGGAAACAGGGGCAAAGGAAGAAAAATAATCCCCTTAGTTGCCACTTTGTCCCCATGCATGGATGAGTTGCTGGTGTAATTATCTCCAGGGGCGGTCGGGTAGCCTAGTGGTTAAAGCGTTCGCTCGTCACGCCGAAGACCCGGGTTCGATTCCCGACATGGGTACAATGTGTGAAGCCCATTTCTGGTGTCCCCCGCCGTGATATTGCTGGAATATTGCTAAAAGCGGCGTAAAACCATACTCACTCACTCACTCTAATTATCTCCATTTCATCAACAGAGAACACCTGGTCACTTTGATGCCTGTCGAAATATGCTTCCTGGTTGAGTATTTGGTTCAAACGCAGCCTGTAAGGAAGGAACGCATGGGTTCTGTATTGCAGTTCAGCTCAGAACTTTTCAGACACCCCTCATGCATCAAGGGCACATGTCATGAACCAACATGTGACATATATAGCCACGTAGTCTCTAAAAATGAAGAAGCCCTAAAATTTACTCATTACATAAGCAATCAATTTTGTTAATTATCATTCATGCTTCTAAGGTATCTGTAATTGTAGCATAGAGGTAATCATAAACCCAGTTGATAGAATACATAGAGAGTATTGGGCGAGTTGTAAATATCAAATATTAGGAATATTAATTGCATTATGCGAGCCTTTGTGTATCCCTTATATAAGACATTAACGACGCGAGACATACGAAGGAAACCTCATTTATATATTTATAAGATCGTGATACCACGTTTATCAGATAGGTGTAACGCATCGATAACACTTGCCATTATATGATACAAGTCCATTACCTCTCTTTTTGTCCTTCAAACTACAGTATGATTATTGTTTACCTCGTGCAATAATATAAATATTTATATCATATCATCCTTTATCTCATAGGGGCAGTCGGTTAAAGTTAAAGTGATTGCTCGTCACGCCAAAGATCCTGGTTCGATTCCCGACATGGGTACAATGTGTGAAGCCCGTTTCTAGTGTCCCGCCGCCGTGATATTGCTGGAATATTGCTAACAGTGGCGTAAAACCATACTCACTCACTATATCTCATAGGATATATATCATTAAGAAAACAGCGTTATCACTGTCCCCCGAAAAGGGGTATATTAGAATTATTTTTGTTTATATAGTGATGAGCATATTAAGTTAATGTTGAAAATTATGCAGTAAGGGCATTAACTCTGTTGAAAAATAAAACTCTCAAAAACAATATTAATGGCAACTTTTTTCGAACTCAGGCTTTATAATTATCCCTTTCATAAGCTTGCAAAGCCTCACTCATGTAACTTCAGTAGTCCCACTATGCATTAAGTAAAACGTACTTATGGAATAACTAAACCAACAGGCACATTATTAATACAGCAAAAATCATATTTTGTCTGAGCCCTAACGCAAACCTTTTCCCGGATGTATAAAAAACGAAAGTAAACACCGCAATACAAACTGTGACAATAGGAAGTGGCACCGTTCTAAATACGAGGTTAGTGAAGTCGAAGCTGAAGAGACCCAGTGATGTGATGACACGGAACCGTCGAAAACATTCATCACTTTGGGTTTTCCTCCTTTAAGCACGCCGTGATATACCAGAAATACTGCTCAAAGTAGAGGTAGAAACAGTATAATTTACTGATACTGCACGGATAATGCACAGATAATGTACGGATACTGTAATATATTTGAAAGGGGTTTCCGTAGCAAAAAGGAAACCTCTTTTTAATCAATCAGAATCAAGCATTCATCAATGTCATGGTAGAATGAAATGTAGAAATACTGTAATAATAATGTATGGATAAAGCACGGATAATGTATGGATAGTGCACGGATAACGCACGGATAATGTACGGATAAGGCACGAGTAATGTATGGATAGTGTACGGATAAAGCACGGATAATGTACGGATAGTGTACGGATAAGGAACGAGTAATGTATGGATAGTATACGGATAACGCACGGATAATTTATGCATAGTGTACGGATAACGCAAGGATAATGTACGGATAACGCACGAGTAATGTATGGATAGTGTACGGATAAAGCACGGATAGTGTACGGATAGTGTACGGATAAGGAACGAGTAATGTATGGATAGTGTATGGATAACGCACGGATAATGTATGGATAGTGTACGGATAATGCACGGATAATGTACGGATAAGGCACGAGTAATGCATGGATAGTGTACGGATAAAGCACGGATAATGTACGGATAGTGTACGGATAAAGAATGGGTAATGTACGGATAAGGAACGAGTAATGTATGGATAGTGCACGGATAATGTATGGATAGTGTACGGATAACGCACGGATAATGTATGGATAAGGAACGAGTAATGAATGGATACTGTACGGATAAAGCACGGATAATGTACGGATAGTGTACGGATAAAGCACGGGTAATGTACGGATAGTGTACTGATAAGGCACGGGTAATGTACGGGTAAGACATAGGTATTGTATGATACTGAAGGGGATAACTTACCGATACTGCACG